ACCATGTCAGCCGAGGGCGCTCCTCATGCCACCTCTGCTCTGTTGGTAACATCTTTCTATTTCTGTCGAATTCAGATGCACCTCTCTGCTGCTGCTCTGCCCTTCCCTCTCTCTTTATCTCTCTGCATTCTCAGCTCGCTTTTCTTCTTTCTTTCTTCTGTATGTAAGTGCTGCTTCTTTTCTACTTTACTCAACGCAATTTCCCAATGTATGAATATTAAATATTTTCCGGCATTTGTGAAGCGCTTATTTATGTGTTTAGCTTGTTCAATTTAGTGGGTTTTTTTTTTTTTTAATCCAATTTCTGTTTCCCTTGCTTAATTTTTCTTTTGTGCTGCAAATTCTCGAAATAGTACCGATTTTCAGTTGCAGTGCTGCATGGCTTCTTCTGAGCCACTCTATTTATAAATTTTTCCAAGTTTTAAGTGTTAGGAGCTACGGATGTTAATTTAAATTTCAATTTAGAATTTTTTTTTTTTGAAGTTTTAAGAGTTTTTCTTCCTTTTTGCTCTCTGATTGGCAGAATATTTGCAAGTTGATAGTGTAAGTGGTTGGTGTAATGGCGTTGTTTTCCAAGCTAGTGGCTACCATAACAATGTTGGTGATAAAGCGGTTTACACTCTGCAAATTGATAGTTTGTGTTTTGTGTGAGAATAACTTTAACAGTTATTCAAATCAGGATCGGCTTCATAAAAGCTGCAGTTTATACTTCAATGTAAATGCGATTTGGAAGGCAATGTTATGGATGGTTGGTCTTATGTCTCTTCCTGTACAAATCTTGACGGCCTTCCAAAGGGAGAGACTAGTTAGTTCCATAGTTTTACTTGAAATCTACATTTGTGTAACAAAAATTAACTGCCTAAGTGCAATTGGGCAAATGGGGATGAGGAAGGGGACTAATTTCTTTTTCTAATATGTTTATTGACTGAAAATTTCATAGTAGTACCTACTCAGTTGAGATTAGAGTTTTTGGATGTGATTAGAACTTTAGTTATGATTTATGGTACTGAATGTTGGGGGTTAGAAGACGGGATACTAATATGGAATTGGTAAGAGTTTCACAAGGTCTGCCTTGAGTACTTTAATGAAATTAATAATTAATTAACTTAAAGACGGTTAAATGGTTGTGTAAAAAGGTTTTAATTTTCCTGTTTGCTTTTAGTTTCAGGCTTCCTTTTACTGCAAAAATAGAGTGCTCTTGTTTTGCCATTGATATAGATGTATGCTACACTTTTGAGCTAGAAAAGTGTCTTAATGAGATGCAGTTTGAGTTGGAGACTTTTGTTTGGAACAGAAAGGAGCTTGAGGACCATCTGCATACAGCTATTAAAGAACGCAGGATAATGGAGTCACTGCTAATAGAACTTGAAGAGGAACTTGACAGTGCCATTGCCAAAATTGAACTATTATATAGCGAGGTTAAACACTGAAGTTTGAATAGTTTTCTCTTTTTTTGACCAAATAACTTCTCACTGCCCCTGACTAAATCCACCTCCTTCCCTGGCTCCTCCTTTTCCTGTACTTTGCATAATGTAAGTCCTTGGCCCCCTCTCCTGTCTCTTAATTTCCTCCCATGCAAAGTTTTGTGTGGAACAATGTAAAACAATGGTGAATTTTTCATAAATTTACTTAATATTTCAATGGTCAGCAAGCACAAGCCTGATGATGACCTTGTAAATCTTTTCACCGCATTTTTTTCTATCTACAAAAATGTTCCTATATAATCATACAATTTATTAAGTTGTAGGTTTGCCTTGGCTTTAGTTGATCAGTTAGTTTCAGTGCACAAACCTGACATGATTTGCAGAGTGATCCTGTCATTTAGTCACATAACAGGATTACATGTAGTGGAAGTCTCGTAGAGAGTTCTAGGATGTTGTTAGAGGACTGTAAGTTTGATCTAGATGTATTTTGCTAAGAGATTCAGAGGAAAACAATGGTCAGGCATATCATGTGTTTTGTACTTTTTTTCTTATTTGAGGAAACCTTCTAGGTGCATGTTACTTTTATGATTCTTTTTTTTTAATATCATAGTTACTTTTTTTTTTTTATTTGATAGAAGATAATATTATTGTGGCTTGGAACTTTTAATAAATTCTAATTTGAGGAAAGAGGTTTTTTCCAAATAACTGCATATTTGGGAGGCTTCTATAGTCTCTAATAAAGAAGCACACACATGGCACATTTTGCTAGGGTTGGTTGTTTATATACTAAAATTGATGTATATTCTGCCAGTTGTAAGAATTGAAGGATGAGAAACTTTCCCTGAAGGAAATTGAGGGTAAAGCAGCATGGAGCCTGAAAGGTCATAATGATACTGGCAGTGGCAAAAACACTGGTATTGTTGACAACCATGAATTGCCTATGGAAAAACCAGTTATAGTGGAAGCAGTATCACCTTCCAAGACCTGATGGCAAACAAAGATGTGTGGGAGAAGAAAACCAAGACTGATAAAGAAATATTCAATTTCACAAAAGCTGGGCCCACTCCGAGTGGATCCATCAGCCCTTTTATAGTTGGTACTCTTCATATAGATTTAGAAACAAATGAAGTTCTTAGCCAAAGAAGGCAGTTTGTACTTTCACAGAGTCTTTTTAGTGCAGTTTTATCACTTTTGGTTGGAATGATAATCTGGAAAGCCAAAGATCCTTGTATGCCCCTTGTGGCTGCTCTCTATACTGTTGTTGGCATGTCATTCAAGAGTGTTGTTCGGTTTTTCTCCACTATAAGGAACAAACTTGCTTCTGATGCAGTTGCTCTCTTGAGCTTCAATTGGTTCACACTTGGCACACTTACTTATCCAACATTGCCAAGGTTTGCTCTTATGTTGTCTTCCCTTTCCTTGAACCTTGTGGATCAGATAGCTACCTGGCTTGGTATCTCACTCAGCTAGCTTATACATTTATGTATTTCTTGGAATTTAGACACCTATGTACAATAGGCTTGGAACAAAGAGTTATCTTGTAGTGAAAGTTGTATGCTAAACGGTTTCACTCTTTTTCTGCATCCTGCTTCAACAGGTATCTGGTCATGTAAACTTCTACAAGTTTCTCTTGTTTGACCATGCAGACATGTATATGCAGAATAGGAATATAAGCTAGTTTTCTCCTCAATGGTATCAATATTTCTCAAGGTTTTGACAAAACTATGAAATGTTGTTCCTTGGAATTTCTAAAGTCAGTGCTAATTCTGTGAAAATTTATTTCACTCAAAGAGGTGAGTTCATGTTCATCTATCAGTTCTGGGTGCTTGGGGGACATGGAAATACTTTCATTGCAGAGGTCAGTATCACTACTTATTCATTTTATGAATTATTTATTTATGTATGTTTCTTGTTGGAAGAGTGAGTTGATTTAAACACATTTTTGTGGATGGGGGGACTGCAATCAGCTACATAACTTGTAAAAGTCTAGCCTGAGGAAGTTTACGGATCTCATCTTTTAGGTCTGGCCTGTCATTAATCCAATGACATTTGTCAGCTTAGGACTCTAAGCTAGTCCTCTGGTTGATCTTTCAGATTTAAACTTCACTGTATTTTGGCCACCCTGCAGAATCTTTGCATTCAAATGTGGCAACTTGAAGATAAAGATGGACATCAAAACTGCTTATACCTGTTGCCTGTAGAACTGCTGTTACCCTGTCCTTCAAGTTGGAACTTTTTCCTTAATCCAAAAATTTTGGTATTTAGGCAATTGGTAGGCTGTCAATGTGTCAAAATTTCTACTCATCTTCATCTTGTATCTTCACAACTGTTCCGTTGCTATTCTTTTCTAACATATTGAAATTTAGTACTGACATTCTCAAATGCTGGCTTTTTGCATTTTTGGTATTCCTCTTTTTTGGGCAGCTGAACCATGCACAATCTCTTGTATCCAATTGCCTGGACAATAACATGAAATGGATGTACCAATCAGACACTAGGCAAAGGTACTGGTCATTCCAACTGTTTTCAGACTTTATGTTGTTGAAATTGAAGGGAAATAAATTGAATCTTTCCCCTCGATGTGTATGTAGTTGCTGCATGATGTTTACTGAAAAATGTTTTGTGCTGTCTTCGTTTGTCTTTTAATTAGTTACATTGGGCAATTCCTCTTTCTGCATTATTACATTAATCACTGAAACCAGTTGCCTTAGCTAAGCAACTAAATGCTTGAATTCTATGTATTATCTTGTCTGTTAAAGCTGCAAGTTTTAGCAGTTACTAATTATATCCTCAACTTTGAGCTCTTACTTCCCCAAATGTACACTTGTAGGGAGGGCTGTAGGGGAGCATACTTAATTGTTTCTCTAATGGTCAACTAGTAGGGGATCTGCCTTTCTGTCAATCAACATGAGCATGGAATGTTACCAGTATGCAGGCAAGACACAAGGGAGTCATAAACTCGTAAGTGTTCTGTCTCTCAACTGATAAGGCCTGGGTGTTAATCACAAACATTGAAAATGATATATGCTGCTGATATTCTATACAATGGAAAGTCCTAGAAACACAAGCTGATATCTTGCAATGGCTGTAAAGTGAATGCATAACTTCTGCAAATAATTTTTAAAAAAGGGGGTATTATTATCATTATTCAGTTAAAGTTACTCATGCTCCATGCTTTACTCTTTTCTATATTCTGTTTTTCCATTTTACAATAGATGTCTAGTTTATAATTATTGCATGACTTCACACTTTGTTCTAAAAGTCTTCATTTAGATAAAGGTCCTGAAAAGAAGCCCGAAAATGTTGCCACTTTCATGCTGGGATGCTTTTTAAATTTTAATAGCTTCACATTTCAATAAAATTCATTTGTATTAGGAAAGAAAAAGGTAACCCTAGATAACCATATATTTAAAGTCCGCCGAAGGAACCTAATCATGTACACACGTCTTTTGTTCAAATTATCTCCTTTTTCCATATAAAATATTTACTCGTACAAAGTAGAGTAAATAATGTTATGAACAAGTGATAAACTACTCCTATCACTTTAGGTGCTTAATTACCTACAAAACAAATGACAGATTGGATTTGTGCCAATCTCCTTTATCTCTACCTAACTTAATTTAGAGCAGCATTTATGAGATAGTAGTTGGTTTTGTTTTCATCTGTCATGCACACACACACAATAATTGGGTATGGTAATTAGATTGTGCCCTGGGGGGTGGGGGATTGGGGGTTTCTCCCAAGATCTAGGCTCTTGACCTCAGCCTGTTCTGCTCATTAGAATTTGATTCAGTGATTTAGAGTCTTCGCGTTCTTAATTCAGTGGTTGAAAGGGCAGATTGAGATATTTAGATGTGTTGTATAGAAAAACAAGTCTTTTTATGAGTATCAGTAGTATGGCAATGTTAAGTGCATGGAACTGAAATTTGAGAACTTTTGATTTTTTTTTTGAGGAAAAAGAATCAAGAACTTTTGAATTTTGGAAGAGGGATAGAAGTTAAATCAAGAGGCTTTTAGGCAATAAGGACGAAAAAGAATAAAAGATGACATAAAAGAAGAGAAATCTAGAACTCTTGTTTTAAATAATCCCGAACATAAATTATTTGAGGTTACTGTTGAAGCAACTAAGGTAGTGTCTCGAATATTTTAATAAAGGTGATTAATGTGCTCTTGCTTCTTTTTAGCTTCTCCTTTAAATCCAAATTTCACATTTAGGTCATCTATGTCGTCAGTTGGCAGAAAAATCTAACACAGACATTGTAAAACTACCTGGTACATCAATGATATCCTTTTCGTAGGATATAATGTGTCTTTTCTCTCTCCTAAATTCTGAGCTTAGCCAACAAATAAACACCATTAGCTCAAGTGAAAGCTTAAGATACCTACTTTATTTTATTTTATTTTATTTTTATATAAAAGTTAAAATATCCTTATATCTATAACATAAAAGTAGAGGATTTTTTACCCAAAAAAATTCTTTTGATAAAAAAAAAAAAAAAAATCTGGGTTCGGTTCTAGAGGCCTTGATAGTTAATTCCCATCCAATTGCACCAAAAAAGATATCTTTATATGCATTTAACTTTGAGATTATGTCAATTAAGATCTTGGTTCAATATTTCTTTTATTTAAAGCTTGGTTCATTACTGTTAAACAAGTCTATATTGGTTCACTCTAAATTATTTTAGGATGTTCTTTTCCGCATTTTTTTTTTCTTTTGGGTTGCACAATAGGAGGTAACCTTTTATCATTCCTTAACTCACACCACTTTCTAGTCATGCAAATCAAACTCAAGTTGTTTTACTTTTACTAGAAGGAGATCATCATTGAATTACTTAGGTCATTATTTCTACCTTTGTTATTAGTTATTACTACAATATTATACATGTGAACTTGGTAGGGACAGAATAATAGAGCAATAAAGGGTTTGGTGAAACAAGCACCGGCCGAAAACTTAGGTCAATTCAGAAATTATTGATGGAAATTATTTGTAGTACTGGGTGTATTCCCTTGTTCACCTTCTTCACTAAATAGTTTTTTCTATTTTGCTTGCTAAGTTTCTCTCAAACCTCTTCATGAATAATGATTCTTTTGTTTTTCTTCGGACATTTATCACAAATTCTATACATTGATGGTTCACGGCGATGCTCAATCAAGTCTGGATTGTGACTGAGGGAACAAGAATAATTGGGCTGTATTCACGAGTTTAACGTGTAGGGCAACCACATGTCCCTAAATTGTCATATTTTGTGGAATAAAGGCATTCTTGACAGATCTGGAATTGGGAAAAGGAAAATGTGCCCCACCGGACACCGGCACCGTTCTTTTCAAGGTAAATACCTAACTTCTTGGAGTATGTTGAATGCTAAAGCCAGAGTAAAAAAGAGACCATGTTAAAAGATTGATTCCATGTGCTCAAAGATGGCTTTTATAAATTTATAAAAGGGAAAATTACACATAATCTACTTCTGATTTAAGGTGAGTGCATTCAAAAGCTTGTGATATCGAAATGTGCACTTAAAAGACCTGTGTTTTAAATCTTGAGCACTAAATCACTCTTGCCATCCAAATAATGTTAAAATTATGTGCAATCTCTTAAATATCCTTGCCTAAAAAAAAAAAAGAGAAAAAAGGTTCAACTGTTGCACAAACTTTCTTTCAAAACAATATTTAAAGATTGACTCAAGTGAAGATGAAAACTAAACAAAATAATTCTTTGCAAGTAATCAAACAAAATCTTTTAATCTACTGTAGTTTATATTCCAAAGTGAAACTTTGTTTCTAATTTTCTTTTATTGACTTTCTTGTGTTTGGTTGGAAATTTTGTTGCTTGTTTAGGATTTAAAAAGTGAGGATTTTATTTGAAAATGAAAAGGTTCTACCTTAATCATTTGTTGTTATAAATAACGTATTTTTGATTTTATGCATATTTACTTTTAATTAATTTCAACAATATATGCTAATTATAAATATTTTATACATGTGCAAATTATTATTTTTTTCAATTAAATTATGCAAGTGGTTTGAATGTAACTAGTTAAAATGAATGAATGAATTAATTATTATCATTTTTTTATGTATTTTGATAGATGGATGGTAATGAGTTACTAAGAAATGATGAGATTGTAAGGGGTTTTGATGAGTCAAGCAACTACAATTTAATTTTTAGTGTTGGGTAAGACGATAGTGTTAGGTAGGAAGGGTGTTAGAAGAATTAAGATAAAAAATAAAGTTTTCCGTTAAGTTTTAATGGTAAAAATGTTTTATTACTCTTATTTCAAAACACAAATCTTTAAATGCATATTTTAGTATCACTAGTTTTTAAATACATTCATTCTAAATCAGAGATAGGTTAAGTATAATTTTTCTTTTATAAAATATAGAAATATCAAACCTTTCGCTTCAAATGGCTTCCTCCCACAGGATAGTGTGTATTGGAATGGAAAAATACACCTTCCCCAACTTGCCTATGTTAAAAGAAAAAAAAAGGGATATAATTTTTTTTTATTCTCACTACTTTGACTCAGTTATTTTTTAAGATGGTATGCATTAGTATAGAAAAATAATATATATTTGCAAAAAGAAAATTCATATATTCTTGTTTAAATTTAATAGTTTTAATTTTTTTTTAACTTTTTTTAGACAAAATTTAAATAAAAACTTAACAATTTATATAAAATTTAAATAAAATTAAAAAATTTTGTATTTTTATATATAACTCTTGTTAAGTATTTTTATTCAATAAAATTTTTTTAATTATTATTTATATAATATATTAAATTTTTATCTAAAATTTATGTTTAAAAAATCAAAAGATTAAATTAAGGCTATTAAATTTGATAGAGGGAGTAAGTATGATATTTTGAATTTTTTTTTTTTTTTGAAAAACCTTGAACTTGAGAGTCACTTAAAAAGTATTCACTTTTCCGATTAGTTTTGTATAGGAAGGTGAAGTATAATAGGAATCAACCTTCACCTATGTGGCATTATTATTAGGATCATCCTTTTTCTAAACCACGGCAATGCATTCTAAGAGCATGTTTGAATTAATTTGTAAGAACTTTAATTTTTTGACAATATTTATATTTTATAAGTTAAATTTTTTTAAAAAAAACTTATATTTTTAAATTTTTTTTAAATTTAAAAAGACGCTTAACAGTAAAAATTCAAAAGTTTCAAATTTTTACTTGTCATAAATTTTTTTTTTACTTACTTTTTATTCACTTTTTTCTACATTTAAAAATAACTTTTAAATTTTTTTTAATAAAAATTTAAACTTATTAATCATAAATAATACGAAAAAAAAAAAACCAAAAAACATGTTCTAAATCGGGCTCGAACGTCGGTCACAAATTACGATGCAGCTCACTCGGGTTGGCTTAACATTAGGCCTGCAGCGTGAGTTATCCATATGGCATTATTGATGAAGTCTCACATTTTCCATACAAATTTAGATACTACTGTACCTCTTTTGTTTTCTGTCTCACAACATCCATAATTTGTATTTTGTTAGTATGCGAAGAAGGAACAAACTATGGAACAGTAAATTTCTTAAAATATAAAAATGATAATGAATTTAAGAAAAAAATTTAATTTAAGAACATCAAATATTACTGTATTGTAAAAGGGGAGTAAATAACTAATATTTTGGCCATGTTTGGGAAAATACAAAGAGAAAAAAGGAAAGAAAAGAAAAGAAAAGAATATGGGAAATCCGGGTAAAAGAGAAAGTAGGTTGGTGTAGAAAAATTTTTTATTGACAAGTAAATTTAATGTTATAAGAAGGAAGTAATCAATTATATTTATAATAGAATTAATTATAAATATAAAATTAATAATTATATCTAATATAGTGAATTATTCTTTTTATAATTAATTATATTATTTTTTTCACAAAATATTTTTAAAAAAATTAGTGAAAAGTGACAATAATTAATTATATTTTTGTATAATAAATTATATTGTATTTAAATTTACGTGTTAAGAAGTTTAATTTCTTAAATCAAGTCTTCTTATGCGGCTTCTCTAGATTTTTTTTTTGGGGGGAACTGCATACCACACACCGTTCTTGTGGCCACCCTCCCCCCAAAAAAAATCCAATTCTTTATCTTCTAGGCATAAAAAAAATAAAAAATTATTTTATGATTTGTATTATATTAAATTATAAAATCGTAATTTTTAGACTTAATTTAATCATGTTGATTTATAGTTCTAATTGTCATTTTTTTAGTTATTTAACACCCTTAAAATATATCAAATATGTTTTATATATTTAATATTTATTTTAATTGATATTTTATATATTTTTAATATAATAAAAAGATATAAAATTAAAAGGTAAAATATCAAAAAATATTATCAAACAAAACCATAGATTGGGGAAAGCTCTTTGATATTGAACCCACTTCCTCTCATCTAAGGGTTTTATTTGTAATCTAATACAATTTGAATTACAAAAGTAGAATATCTTTAAAAAAAAATTTAAAAAGTTTAAAAGATCAATTTAGTCTCTTAACTTTCAAATTTATATTAAAATTGTTTCTTAACTTTGAAAATATCAAAAATATTCTTAAACTTTAACTTTTAACACAAAAAAGTCTTTACAAAAGTACACATAACTCATTATTTTGTCAAAAAATCAAATTTTTTAAAATACTAATGACGTATAAAAATAAATAATTATATTTTATCATTGTAACATATTTTTATTTACATATTAAATTAATATATAATTAAAGTTAAAAAACCAATTTGATATTTATAATCAAAGTTTAAGGACTAAATTGGTACTTGTTTTAAAATTTTAAGTACTAAATTGGTATCATTTTCAAAGTTTAGAGATAATTTTGGTATTTTTTGAAGTTATGAGACAATTTTAGCATAAATTTAAAAGTTTAGGGATCAAATTGCTATTTTAACAAAAAATAGAAAATATGGAGTGCTGACGTGGGTGTAGATGCATTCGTTTCTCTCGGTGGAGGTGGAATCTTCTTATTGGTCAGTGACACACCAATCTAGCAGGAGAATAGGCACTTCATCATTTCTCCACCATAACTCGCACGCTGCAGTCTTAGCTCACACGCACGTGCGTTCACTGTAGACCTTTGCATGACATCCGCCGGTGGCACAGTGTAATGACATCGGAATTAACGCCTTGTTTTGTAACCCAAAAACAACCCACTCCTGAATTTCCATATTCATTAGGGATTGACCTAACATTGGACCCTCAAGTAATTCATTTGTTTCAATATGGCCAATTTTTGTTCAACATCAACTCTTTAAACTTTGAAGTTGATTTAGTATCCAATAAGTCCATCAACAGCACAAGTGCAAAGTACTAGCATTTAAGAAAGAAGTTATTATTCACGTGATCACACAATAGTTTTTTCTTCATTAATTTATTGTCGAATTGACTTATTAATGTGAATGCTTTAACTGGTTATGGAATTTATGACTTATATTTTATTTTTTTATGTTTAATTCAAGTAATTATTGTTATTTTTTTTTCTTTTTATGTGTTATAGTTTTTTTTGAGAATTCACTAAGTTTACTCAACTAAACATTCAATAATAGTTTTAGGGGTAGCAGCTTTGAAGAAGAGAAATTGTAAACCAAACAAGTCTTTAAGATGTAATAATGTTTGGTAAATAAGCATGAGTAGAAAGAAAGCTTTATAGATTGTTTGGATTAAATTTTTTATATAATTAATAATTGATAGTAAATATCTAATAATTAATAATTATTGTTATTTATAATTCAAAATATTTAATCTATTTGATTAAAGTCTATGGCTAATAGTTGCTTGTATAAAGCTTAAACAAATACCCCTTTACATTGAGGGGCGCATTTGGGACAGAAGTTAACAAGTGGCCTTGATTGGAACACATGAATTAGTTGAGGATCAGGCTTATGTCGTAGAGTGTTTTATACAAAACCGGCGTCGTATCGGGACACGTGTCAGATCACCGTTCATCTGTTCCGAATATAAATAACCCTCAGAGCATCTAAACCACAGCTCACTGACAGGGTTACAAACATGGTAAAGAACGCAGCTATGGTAGCTCCGTTCTGTTTCCGATTCGGAGATTGATTCAGTTACCGGCGGTCTCTAATTCGCTTGGTGCAGGTCGGGAACTGATTGGCTGGCCTTGTGGTTTTGGCCAGATGGCGGGAGGTGACTGGCGGAAGCGAATTGGATCCCGCCTTGCATCAACTGAATCGGAGACCGCGGTGAAGGTTGCATGGATCTATCGTTTTTCTCTCCGATTGTGTTCAGATCTCAGGCCGAGGTTTCGGTTGATTGCTTGTTATTTATGATTTGGTTCTAAATCTATTAGATTTACAAGCTTTTTTTGTTCCATTAGATCTTTTTCTATTGTTATCTTGAATCTAATCAATGAATTAATTGTCATAATAAAGCTAAGTGAATTAGTTATTGATAGATCTGGCTTATTTGATTGTATCTTCTGAGAAGTGATGGATTTTTGAGGAAAATAGATCGAATGAAATGATAATAGATTGAGAATATTTTCTATTTTGGAGTTTTCCTGCTTAAAAGCATCGAGATTTGAGATTCGGAAGTGATTTATATGTCAGGATATGGAAACAGTAGAAATAATTTGTGTTCTGTTTGGTTTCTAGAAATTGATTTCCAGAAAATAGTATCATGACTCGCTATATATATATGTTAGTGATCCAAAAAGGATATTCCTTTTCATTTTCGGTAAAGATCTAGCCTTTATGATGGGAGCCGCTGTTTTCCGGTTGCCCTAGGGTTGGAAAAGATGGAATATAGGGGTTTAACTATTTTAGTATACCTTTAATGTAAATGAGGGAGTAGTACTGTAGTATGGTTAAGCTATCCCCCTGAGGGAATTCTGTTACCTGTTTTGTTTCTGGAGAATACAAATCACAATTACCAAATCTTTCTACTCTGTTGAATATCACAACGGGTGGTGGCTGGTACAGCCAACTGCTAACGGCAGTTTGTCTCCCCAGGCTTTGGTATTGATTTTAGTATATCTAATATTGAAGTTATCTGGATCTGTTAGTTTCTTCAGATTGTATTCATCTGAACGTCTCCTCTTTCCAGTAATGTGTATCTATGCCTTCTGCTTCTGGTTTTGGTGAAAAAGGTAAGCTCTGTACTTGCCTTTCTTTCTTCTTCTTCTTCTAAATAACCATCTCTCATCTAAGTTTGAAATTTAATTTAAAGGGTGCCAAGTTTGGTTTTCTTCTGTTAGATTGGATTTAATAAGTTCACATGCTTATTTGATTTAACCTTGCTAACCAGTCTTTGCATATCTTTTGGGTGTCACTTAACAATTTTGATGTTGGTTTTCCATTTTTATCATAAGTTGATAACTTATCATTGGGGATGATTGGGTACTGTTATCAGTGTTCATAGGTAGAGATATGTTAGTGGGAAATGTTGTTGATAAGTCTGTTGAAGGTGGGAACTGCTGTTAGAAACATTCAGTTATTCATTATGATTAAATTTTTTGTTTAATATCTTCTTTACCTTATCTTGTTTAGGTCGTTCAAAGAAATTTGTATCATCTTGGAAAATGTTTAGCTCTAATCTACCCACGTTTAGGTGGTGGTAAGGAAAAATGTTCATATGTAATGTTTATCTAATTTGCTACTCTTATCTGTTGTTTCACTTTCAACAGAGGTAGCATTAATTTTTTATTTTCATCTACCTTACTAGTCATAGATCTATTTGAGCTTAATTATTTGTCTCTTGTCTGATTGGGATTAATTAAAGTTGATGTGTGAATATAGTCAAACGTAAACATACATGGAAATGAATTGGTCTCATGTAAGAAAAGTAGATCTTTATTCTAAGTCACCTCAAGATCCAGCAGGGGAAGACTTTTTAATCAAAAGCTTAAAAAGTTTTGATGCTTCGGCCTTTTTCCTGCTCAATCTGTCATTGAAATTTTGTCTTCTTATCTAGTCTGTCCTTTATGTTCAAATTATCAACATAACTTTTGTTTTTATTGTTCTTTTTCTTTCTACCATAAACTCTCAGCCTACCTCATAGGATAGGGTTTCCTCTGTAAAATTCATGTTTTGACTATGCAAAGGTAGCCAGTGCCGGATCAGTTGATCCAATATGTTAGAAATGCTGATGAAATGTTTGATGCTAGAATTTGATAACAAGTTATCTCAGTATTGTTACATCATCATATATATGGTGCTTTGTCTTTGCGGTGTAGCCTTAAAAGTGGTTTTCCTAAATGCTTCAAACTCAATAAAGAAATTTTCTAGTAGTAGGCCACACCCACCAACCTTGGGTGAAGTATTAACCCATGCTTATGGATGAGTGAGTTAGTTTGTAAATATTCATGATATTAGTTGTGGATTAAATGGTCCGAATAGTAATGTTAATAGGAAAGAGAGAAAGAGAAAAAGACCAGAATCTATAGAGATGCTAGATGGATGGGTTTGCCTGAGCATCTTTGTCCT